TCCAGCTAGGCAAATGTTGGTCATTGACGCAATCTTGGCTTGGACATCGCGTGCCACAACTTGCAATTGGGTTAAAAGTGAACTGAATAAAAATTAAGTTTTATAGGCCGCATAACAGTGGGAAAATGGAAATGAAACTCAGGTGAGTTGAGGTAAATATGTAAATCATTAAGAGGATTTATCGTCTATACATATACATGCTATCCTTTATGTACATGTACATATACAATAAATAGGGTTAGAGTAATTTGGGCAATGACTTGTGATTAATCAAATTATAGCCTAAACATGAGAATCGAAATGTGTTTTGTGGGTTGAACAAACTTAAGTAGGCGGTTAAACGATAATGCGTTAAATAGAAATCTAATCATTGATAACGATTACCAACTTTAGATAACGTCTTTGTAGGGTAGTCCATGCTAGTTTTATTCATGAACTAAGTTTATAAGGTAGTGAAATATAGTATACCCTTACACTAGAGTAGGTATATCTTTAAAAAACATGGACAAAATTGACTTGACATGACTTTTGCTGCTGTTTCCACAAGGGTCTTGATATATGTGTAATACCTTAAAGAAGTGTATATTACTTATATGTCTTACGCTAATCAACTATAATAGCTTAAAGGTTTTTCTAGATTAGTTCATGACACTCCGTATCTTATACCAATGAATGCCTCATATCATTTTAAAGTTTCTTAAGAAAATTTCGTATACCCTACAATCAAAAAGAAAGATCGCTATGCGTGTGGCAATTAACTAAACTAGGCTGTGAGCTTAACAGGTGTACAATCTTCTAGATATATACATATATATTCACATATGTATGTCAGCACGTGCCTGGAAAAAACTGGAAATACCGCTAGCGATTATTGGAACTCGATTGCCATTGCAATTAGATGACGTCACATGAATACATACAGACATACGTGTGTGCATATTGGAAGCAGAACGCAAGTCAAAATGTATGTACACACATATATAATTATTCATAAATATATTTGTATAAAAGACAATTAAAGAGTGGAGCAAAGACAGTTAATGCGCCTAATTTGATTTGCTAAACAATTGGCCAAACATGTAAAGGTTTGTAAATAGAAAGCGGCTGTGATTTATCAGCAATTTAGGAATTGTGTAAAGTAACAAAAACAACGACAACGTTGACACGACGACAAGTGTTGTGAAGTGCGTTGTTTCTCTGTGTGTGTGTGTGTGTGCGGGCGTGTGTGTGTGTGTGCTGGGGAGTGTGCCAATTGCTAATGGAAAGCGTCACGTTCGCTTCCACTCCTCTGTTTGCTAGAGCAGAGTGCAGATAAACACGTTTGCCTTCTGCTTCTTGCACGCCCTCTCAATTGCTTTTTTATTGCGTTGTCTAGCTTTTTGTGCATTGTGCACTTCATTTTTATTGTTACGCCTTGTTTACATCATCAAACAGCAGCGGCGCATGCGCGACACTTGACATCAGTTAACGGCAGCAGCAGCAGTAACAGAAACAGCATGAGCACCAGCTGCCATCAGTTTACATTATTGTCTTTTTGCATGCACTGAACACAAACACACTTATGTACACATCTGTATGCCAATATGCACACATGCATACATTTAAGACCGTTTCATTAATAATGTGCCATTGTATTAGAATGCATTTGCCATTGAAGTGGGCTGAGAAAAATCTTTTCGACAACTGCCGGCCGAATAGCTGCGCTGTTGCGCTATTGCACACTTATGCATTAATTCGCCACACAAACTCACACACATACACATATGTATGTACACGCTATTGCCATTGAAGCAAGCTCTGCTCAAATCTTTGAGACAGCTGCTGGCCCCAGAGCTTTGTTGTTGCGTTATCGAACACTTGTGCATTCACTCACTCAACACACACACACACACACACACAAATATACACATACAGCATCATTGGCTGGCATAACTGGAAACCGGTTCCAGTACACATTTACCGTAGCCACCACACAACAGCATGCGACATAATTGTATAAACATAGATTTGTTGTTAGCAACTTTGTTATTGCCATCTCATATATACACATATATGTATATATTCATTCATTGTTGTTGTTTGTCTTTTTTCGCGCGAGTCTCTCACACTCTATGCCAACTGCGACTGTGGAATTTTGTTATTTTTTTTTTTTCTTTTTTGTAAATGAACTGAGCCGCAGGTTTGTCTTCTAAACTTGAAACAAGTTATCGGTTTATAGCACAAATTCCACAATCATTGTTTTGCGTTGGGTGCGGCTTAGAGCTTATAATTTTCAAGTTTAATTTCACTTTCAAATTAAGTGCAGCAAAAGTATTTGCATATCGTATGCATGCTCTCAAAACAAAACGCATGCATAACTCCATTTAATTAAAATTTTATTAGCTAGAACACGCAGCATTCAGCACTAGCACTTTTTGCAAATATGTACATAACTCAAAACTTGTTTATCAAATAATAACCACTAACCAATAATTTATGTTAAGACTTTTCAATTAAGTCAAAGCCAAATACACGGCTTTTGTTTATCTTTCCGTGTCTATCGCGCACAAGACTGCGCGCCTTGTATTCAAATTTGCAACTGACAATTAAATGCTCCAATTGGGCAGGCGCATGCTGTATGTGACAGAGGTGAATTCATTGTTGATGGTGAATTTTAAATACCCCATACCAGTTAAAGCACGCTATCGATAAATGTGGGCCAGTGCTTATCGATAAGCAATGACCAGGAACATCTGATGTGTTTTTTCTGCACCAATAAAAATTTTTCAATTAGAGTTGTCGGAAATTAACAATTTAAAAATGTGTTATAAGCTATTAATAATAGCGGCACTCATCGCCTTGAGTAGCAGCGAAGTGGTAATTGGCCAGGAGGATCTGGTTGAGGAAGTATCTGGTCACTACACAATCGAGGGCAAAGTATACGCTCCCGATGTAGGACCCGGACTCGGTCAGCAGGGTCATGCGGTTGCCTTGCCCAATAGCAACAAATGGCAGGTGGACTTGTCCGTGAGCATTAACAACGGCGAGTACAAGGGATTTGTGCGCGAGGATGGACAGTTCATAATCAGCGGCGTACCCTCCGGTAGCTATGTGCTGGACGTTTATCATCCGGACATATTCTATGAGCCAGTGCGCGTTGAAATCAATCCCAAGGGCAAGTTCCGTGCGCGTAAAGTGAACTACATGCAGCCAGCGCAGGTTGTCCAAGTGCCCTATCCACTCAGGATGAAGCCGCTTATGAGATTCAAGTATTTCCAGACCCGCGAGCAATGGAAGGTTTGTACATCTTATCGATGACATAGATTTAATAACCTAGCAACCTTCCATGTGTTTGTACTAGATTACGGACTTCCTGTTTAGCCCTATGGTGCTAATGATGGCTCTGCCCTTGTTGCTTATGCTGGTGCTGCCAAAGATGATCAACGACCCAGAGACGAAGAAGGAAATTGAAAATATGCAATTTCCTAAGGTAAAGACAATATATTAACTATATACGCTTAAAACTAATTCATTTTTTGTTCTTCCTACTCAGATGACAAATGATATGCCAGAGATTAGCGAAATGCTAACATCTTTCCTAGCGGGCAAGCAGCCTGAGCCAAAGGAAAAGAAGCCTATCACAGCAAACAAACAAACAAAAAAACGGAATTAGTATTTGTGCCGTAATCTAATTGAATTAAGCCTTAAGCAAATAGAGAAAATCCTTTCAATTCTTAGTCAAATGGAGTAAATTCAATAAACTTTGTAATATTAAGAGACGTTTATTTAAGAAAACCAACTGTGTTGGGCCTTTTGGGCCCCACGCGCTCCTCCTCCAGCTTGAGCATCGTCACGAGGAGATTATTCAGCTGCTCGCCCATGGAGAGACCAAGCTGTATGCTATTCAGCATAGTATCCCTATGCATGGAGCCGCCTCCAGTCATGTGTGTGCCAGACAGATAAGCTGCAGGTAAAGAGGGTGTAAAAGAGGGAAGCACTTCAATATAGTCATAGTATTTACCTTCATTGTTACGCATGGATACGGATACAACCATGCTAACAGTGCTACAGACTTCCTCCTCGGCTGTCGGATCCACCAGACAATAGTCACCAATTTTGCATACGGTCACAAGCAGAGGCACTGCATCAATGCCAATGCGTGTGCAATCATAGGGATTATCCGATATAATCAAATCCGTGACGCCTGCATCCAGCAATGTGGCAGTTACCCGGGGCAGCTTTGTATTATAGAGCGCTGCCTTGGCTGCCAGAGAAACGGCATCGTGCAAATTGCCACCGCATTCCAATATCTGAAAAGCAGACATTAGATAAAACGTATATACTAGTATTAAACTTACTAAAATGTCTATGTAAAGCTTCCAACATTGCTGACCCGGTATGAGGCACAAGGTACGATAATCAAAGGCATACGGGGATTCGTAAGCATTCTGCAGGGAAAGTATCAGCTCTTGTGCCAAGTCTGAGCCACCGCGACCCTCAAATTCTGGTGTGGCATTCGCAGAGCTGCGACAAATCGAAAAGCTGAATATACAAATATCAAATTGATATAGAAAACATTTACCAATCCACAAAGAACTCTAGTTTTCCAAACTCGGGCGTTAATGGATTGGGCACATCAATTTCAGTCTTAACGCCCACCAGAATATCTGTGTTCGCTAAACGTAGACGTGCCGACCCACTTGCATTACTGACCAAGCCAGTCTCCAGTTCCATTGGGCGGTAATCGCGGCGCGAACGACCATCGCAGCGGAAATCCTCCTGCAAGTATATACAAATACTTTATATCAAGTATAAATAATTTTGTAAGCCCTTACCTCAACGCCATGTAAAATAAAAGTCTTCTCTGCCTCGCTCAGCGCAACGTATGCCATTTTTCATTAAAAATATGTTTCAAGTCGAATCAAAACAAACCTAACATGTGGATGAGCGATAACGATAACGATATACTGTATTTAATAATGCAAAGCTGTTACTTAAATTCTACAGCACTGTGCCGGTTAGACGCTTCGCAACACTTGCCAAAAACAAGCCAGTCATTTTGCTTTGCATCTTACTGCACGAATTAGAAATTATAAAAAGAAATTCTTTCACAAGAACCATGGGTCCCGACTTTGACTTCACCGACACACCCGTCAGCACTGGCGTAAGTTATAGCATTATTAAAGTCTGCAAGCCGTGTAACCATCATCATTGCAGACAACTATTATGGCCGTTGAGTTCGATGGCGGCGTTGTGATTGGTGCAGACTCTCGCACCAGCTCCGGGGCATATGTTGCGAATCGTGTGACCGACAAATTGACTCAAATCTCGGATAAGATATACTGCTGCCGCAGTGGCTCTGCCGCTGACACCCAGGCCATTGCCGACATTGTGGCCTATTCTCTGAACTATCACCGGAATCAGACCAACAAGGAACCACTTGTCTGGGAAGCGGCATCAGAGTTCCGCAACTTTTGCTACAACTATCGCGACTCCCTGATGGCTGGCATCATTGTTGCCGGCTGGGACGAGGAGCGTGGTGGTCAAGTCTATAGTGTGCCATTGGGTGGCATGCTGACACACGAATCTTGTACCATTGGTGGCTCGGGCTCCAGCTACATCTATGGATTCGTAAAAGAGCACTATCGCCTCGGCATGCAAATGGAAGAGTGTGTAGATTTTGTCAAGAAAGGTTGGTACACTTCATGCGAAATTTATTTCTTGGCTGTCAGCTAATTTACAAATTTTCTCACAGCTGTGCAACATGCCATCTACCATGATGGTAGCTCCGGCGGCGTGGTGCGCATTGGAATCATCACTAAGGACGGTATTGAGCGTCGTTTGTTCTTTAACACAGAGTCTGGACAGTCTGAGATTGAGGGCTCAAAAAGCTTTTTAGTTTAAATGGAAAGGATTCTAAATTCAGCTCTAACTCTTGTGGAAAATATAATAATTTGGTTTTTCTATATGTAGATTTTATATTTTTCATTTGGGTATATGCGGGATGAAAGGCCATACAAAAGTCAAGTTCTTACACACTAAATGATAATAAATAAGTCGAGATAATAGCTTAAAACTAAGTAGATATATGTATACGACGAAAAAATAGCTCCAGTAGTCACAACGCGTTGGTATCACATCCTTAAAATAAATATCAATACAAATTTTCCGGCTTATGCGCGAGAGTTCAAAGGCTCCCCTTGCTCGGCCTGCATATAAGTAGTCTCCATGGATTTTGATGTGTGGTGCCGCTGCCTTCTGTAGCGATAATAGATCTCTGGCGTCCACACAACGACGACCAGAAGCAGCACCAAACTTTGAGCGTACAAGCAGACGACGTATGAGTTGGAATAATCGCGTACCCAGCCAAGAAGCTGGCCAACAATTATCACAATAATGCCCTTGGATATCATGCTGAGGCCCAGACCGCCAGCTAGTTTCTCGGAGCGACAATATGCCGATATAGTCAGATTGTTGTTGATCACGGTGGCCGACTTGGTCATGCCCACTTGCACGGACATGGCAATAATGACTGGCAAGCTGGTCGTCTGAGCGAGCAGCAGGCGGGCAATCAGCAAACCAACTATGCCCATCAGAAAGACAACACGATAGGGTATTCTCAGTCGGTCAGTGATGCAGGGCAGGAGCAGACGGAAGACGATATCGGCACCAGCCACAACCGACATGCATGTAGCCACTGCTTGACTGTCAAAGCCAGCGGTGTGCTTCAGGAAATTGGGGAAGACGAGTGTAAAGTTGATTGTAGCTGTGTAGACCAAAGCCATGCCCACAATGATGCTCCAGAATACTGTGTCCTTGAGCAGTTCCAAGTCCATGGCCTGGGCCAAACGATAGCCCATTTTGCTGCACAATGAGCCGTCTTCTTTCGATTCCACTGGCTTCAATGCGTTATTATTCTGTGTCAGCTGCACGATGATTGCCTGCAAATCGTTGCTTTGCTTCTTGTCCTCCTTATCCACAATAAGTGTCAGATGCTTGCGATTGTTGTGAATAACGGTGGGATTTAGAGGACGTAGGAAAATGGCACCAAGCAGCTGTAAATTGAAAGACAATTGCTGTTAGCCAAGAGTTTAAATATTATAGGGCACAATAATACTAACCCCAGTCAGCGAGAGAGCAGCCATGGCTAGCACGGCAGTGCGGAAGCCATAATTCTCTAGGAAATATCGCACCATGTGAGGAATAAAAACTTGGCCCACACCAGCGCCCGCCAAGGAGACGCCAACGGCACGTCCCCGCTTGCTGCTGAAGTAGGAGTTGATGGCCATGAAGGTGGATGGCGATATCAAGCCCAGTCCAAAGCCGACAAAGAAACTATAGCCTACTATGTAATGCCAACTCTCTGTGGCAAAGGAGCACAGAGTCAAGCCAATGGATACCAACAAGCAACCCGTGGCAGCCACATTCCTTGGCTTAAAGCTCTTGATGGCCGGCCCAATGAACAAGCCCGAAAAGTTTAGAGCCAAACTATTCAGATTTGTTATAAGTGCAGCCGTAAAGGTGTCCTCGTGCATGCGCAATTGACCCTCGAACAGTAGTCCAAAGACTGACAGTATGGACTGGTTGGTCATCTATAAGAGCAAATGAGTTAGAATATCTCATAATTTGGAATAGAATTCACGCAAACTTACATTAATCACAGCCACGGCGGCAACTACAACCCAACCCCAGCCGCCATCCGGTACAGTGCGTCCAGCTTGCACATCCATGTCGTCTAATTTGCTAATCAACTAATGAAGAGTTTATCCAAGCACTTGATCAAGAGCTGAAGCTGAAATAAAAACAAGATAAGCGTATGGTAAGTAAAATTGTTGTAGACAATTCATTAATTATATTTAATTAGCTTATCACTGGCATACAGCGTGATATCAAATCGCTTTATCGCTCAATAATGTGTAAAGCTCAATTCTGACGACAACAACGATGTCTGGCAAAGGGTTCAAATTAAAACGCATAAAAAAAAACTGTGATTTACAATAAACAAAAAAAGAGCGAGCATACTTACGCCCGAGTACGTGCCTAATCAAACATAAAGAGCGTATGCACGTTGTTTCCATTGTGCGTCTTGCTTGCAACACGTTTGAATCGTTTAAAGCTTTAAGCGCCACAATCAGCCAAATATTAAACTTAAATTGTTTAAATTAATTCAAAGTCAAGTCACAAAGTGCGACGCCAAAACAACAGAGCTGCCAACTGCTTCAAATAGAATAGAATGGCCGCATTTGCAGTAGGTTGGCAGCACGCTTTTCGACTCCAAACAGCTGATTGCCTGATGCCCGCTGTCGCATTTTTGAGAGAATAAATTACTAAAACGTTGCAGCTTTAATAATATGTGTTTTCTGTGCACAGAGTGCACGGATAATGCCATTGGCATTATCCCATTTAGTTCACAGGAAGCTGAGCTACTTAATGTTAAAGCGATTATCGAAAAACATTTTTGGTTGCGGGTAAGAAATGCTACAAATTACAATTGGAACATTTTGTCCAGTTAAATGTTTGCTCGAATTGCAGATTGAAGACGCCAATGGCCATATTTGTGGTAGTTGCTGGAGCGAGCTGTATGCATTCCATACATTCTATTTGCGTGTGGAGCAGGCGCACAAGGCGCTACTTGAAATTACAAATCTGTCATTCGCTAATGAGACGGAGGAAAGCGGAGCACTGGAAGCCATTTCCATGGAATTGCAGGTGCCAAAAGATGTCGTTAAGACGGAGGCTGACTTGGGCGACAGTGTGGCGGCTGCTGTGAAGCGTAGGCGCGGCCGTCCTCGCAAACAACCAGTAACCGAGGAAGCAACAGGTATCGACAGCAACGAATTTAGAGCCGTATTGGAGCAGATCAATCTGAACGAGATAAAAATCGAATTCCCTGAGGCGGACTTGAGCATAGCTGATGTGCTCGAAGATCAGGAGGAGCAATCCATATCTGAATTTCTTCAACAGAGTTGCAATGAAAGTGAAGCAGAAGCTGTTGCCATCGTCAAGCCAAAGCCGAAGAAACCTCGAAAAAAGACCAAAAAGCGTCGCTGCTTGAAAACCAAAATAAAAAGCGTAAAACCCGTTAAAACTGGCGTAAACAATATGAAGAAATCTCAGGAATTCAATGAATACATCAGGGATCACTTCAAGCTATTTTGTCCATTTTGCAATGTGACGATGGAGGACTTCTCCCAGATGCTGACGCATTCACGCAAGGAGCACAATCAGCGCGGCTATGCCATGTGCTGCAATCGGAAGTTCTTGAAGCGCGGTGTGCTCGTTGATCATCTGCGACGGCACCAGGATCCGGATCTATTCAAATGCCAGATATGCCAACGTGTGATGGGCCAGCGTCGCAGCCTAGAGCTGCACATGCGCATGCACGAGATCAAGCAGCATGGACGTCGCTACCAGTGCGAGCACTGCTCAAAGAGGTTCTTCAGTCCCGTCGTGTGCGAGCGCCACAAACTCATCCACATTCCCAAGGAGCAGTGGAAAGCAACGTGCCCCACCTGCTGCAAGACGTAGGCATAAACTTGACCCTAGTTTAAATGCTCAGATATCAATGATTCCCTAATCTCTTTGGCAGCTTCCCCAACGAGTACCTAATGCAGCAGCACGTGAAGCTGGTGCATTTGCGAAAGTTTGACAAGATTTGCGATGTGTGCGGCAAGTCGATTAGAGGGCGTGAGGCTTTGGTTCGGCACATGGAGGAGCATGCGGGTGCACCGCAAAAGATCATTAAATGCCATCTGTGCGAATCGACGCTAACAACCAAATACGGACTGGCGCGTCACATCAAGATGATGCACACAGCGGAGAACTTGCAGCCGATGCAGTGCAAATTTTGCCTCAAAGTGTCACCCACACTGCAGGCGCATCAGCACCACATCAAGTACACTCACAACACGGCACGTACACACGAGTGCCCGATGTGTGAGAAGGCATTTAAGCGGCCGAGCGAATTGCGCGTGAGTTGAACAACTGCTTTCTGCTTTCAGTTATGAATGGGGCGTGTAATCAAAAACTGTTTTCATATATGTATGTATGTAGGAGCACATGACAACGCACACCGGCGAGGTGCTGTACACCTGCCCGCATTGCCCGAAGACCTTCAACTCGAATGCCAATATGCATGCTCATCGCAAGAAGATGCATTTCAAGGAATGGCAAGAGTACCATCGTCAGCATCAGGCGCGCTATCGTCGCAAGGATACGATCATCTCGGTGAGCATGAGGAAGACAACGGAAAATGCAGGAGCAACCATGACAAAGGCAGCCACACGGGCCGCCGAGACCGCAGAAACCGCAGCGACCGCAGAAATCGTAGAGACCGCAGAGGTGCCAACGCTTCTGTCGGTGGACGATGTCTTGGAATGCTGAGATTGCGCGTGCCCTGTGACATAATTTTTGTACTTTGCGTTTATTTTGATTTCGGCGTAATCAGTGTATAAAGCTTGAAAAACAATTTGTAGCTTGTTTTAATTGAAAAAGCGTTAAATGGAAAAGCCAAGACGGGAAACTGGTTTCAACCGGTTAGCCGGCTACAGCATCCCAATCGAATAGCGCAACAGAGTCGCTCTTATCAGCGGCATTAAGGTCGAATCTGGTTACGTTGCTTACATATAGATTGAGCATTATTATGGTTCAGTATTCGGAGCAAATAAATTAATATGATTATTATTTTCTGATGGACTGGACTTGGTGTGATGCCGAGACAATCGTATCTCTGAGTGTCTATGGCGGCATACCGGTTCGAGGCGGTTCTGAAGTGGATCCCGAAGCCTTATCACCGGATTGCCATTATATATGTTTATATATAGTTCAAAGGCTCCATAACCAGCAACGTGTGTTTGTTTGCTTGTTCTAATTGCCAGCAGCTTCTTTAATCTGTACCAATGGTTCACAAAGCGTGACAAGCGGGATTTGAATTTGCAGTTTGTTGTTGCCTGTTTCTTTTTCAAAATATTTTGAGCTCTGGTAAAATCTTTCCTATCAATGGAATATTTTCTGGGGTCAGACATATGGTCTACAGTCCGTGAAAAGAAGCCGATTTTGCCTTTTCAATTACCTCTATGAAGTTCAAATATCTGATTTGCGTAGTTTTACTGAATTCCAACAAATTAATCACAATCCCCAGTTTGAGGGGTAACTTTATACGCATCTGTACAATGTAAATATGATTCACGTAAATCACAAATATACATACCGGCTATGGTTCTATTGATGATACATCAAATATAAATGAAATAGGCGCGAATTTGTTTATCCTTATTTTTTTTTATTCTGCAATTTATTCACAATTGTATTGTCTGCAAATTTCTTTAAAGTTGTTTTGAGTTTTTGTTTCGCTTAAATAGTACTTTGCAGCTCAACGAGCTAATATTGTTTGTCTTCCCGGCTGTTTTGCCTGCGCTTTTATAGGCGACGGCTGCGACTCATCAATGTCGTTTATACAGCCACCACACGATTGTTTACAAAATGCGAGTGTTACATTTAAACATCTCGACTTTGGCGCCAATAGATCGTTGATGTATGTGATGATTCTTCATTTCATATCAACGAGTTTTTGAATGGCTATTAAATCAGCTCAGCCTTATCGATGAATCGATATATTCATTATTGCATTTCAGTACGTGTCACACTTGTTGTTTTCTTTTGCCGTAGCAAATTTCTTTATTTATTTACTTTGTGCCAGATTGAATTTATACGCAGCGCCATGGTTGACGATAGTACCAGAAAAACCTTGAGCAACATTCCACTACTGCAAATACGCGCTGGTCCGCGTGAGAAAGATGTTTGGGTGCAGAGACTGAAAGAGGAATATCAAGCACTCATCAAGGCATGTACTTAATTTATTTAACGAAATTGAATCAATAATAATCTTGCCTTCAGTATGTGGAGAACAACAAGCAATCTGGCAGCGATTGGTTCCGCCTCGAGTCCAACAAGGAGGGCACCAAATGGTTCGGCAAATGCTGGTACATGCACAATCTGCTTAAATACGAATTCGATGTCGAGTTCGACATTCCAGTGACGTATCCAACGACTGCACCGGAAATAGCCCTTCCAGAACTGGACGGTAAAACGGCTAAGATGTATCGAGGCGGTAAGATTTGCTTAACGGATCACTTCAAGCCACTGTGGGCACGCAATGTGCCCAAGTTTGGCATCGCACATGCCATGGCCCTCGGCCTGGCGCCCTGGTTGGCCGTAGAGGTGCCAGACCTCATCGAAAAGGGCATAATCACGTACAAGGACAACTGTTGAGGCTTCAACTGCAGCTGCAAATGATCTAGCTAGTTTTTTTTTTTTTTTTTTTAATTAATATGACAATTTAAATACTATGAACAAAATTGTATGTAAAGGCTTATGATTTTTTTACGTTTTCTATTGCAAGTTCCAGTTTAGCAACTGTACACTTTATTAGTAAAATTCCAATAAATCAAATGAGCTCAAAGAATATTAAACTATTCTATAAATGTGCTCATATAAATATACTTATACTTACATTCATTCGAACATTTACTTTGGCATCGTTGCGAAATAGAGCTAATTGATCTGAATGACTTAGTTATGAGAATTTTGGAGAAAGGCAGGGAGTTAATAAATAAATATATAAATATAGTAATTATTAATATAGGAAATGCACGATATCATGAAAGTCATAAATCTTTGCGTTTATTTAGTCAAATGTCAAATTGGAAAAGATCATGTGTTTCATTGATTCTTAGCGTAGCCTAAGTGTCTATATGTAGAATAAGAATTTCATTTGGTTGCTTATATTTGATCAGTGAGCTTTTGATGCACCTTCAGTTCATGTGATTGTTGCGCTGGCGCCAATTGTCCGACCAGATTGAGCTTGGCGAGGTAAACGGATCGTATTGATAGGGTATATTGTGCTGTTCCCTATCTTGTGCGTTCTGCAAACCATCGATGTGGTTATTGCTCTGATTGTTGTTTGTGGATGCTGCTGCTCCAACTGCCGATGTTGTTACTACTGTTGCTGCTGCTGCAGCTGCTTCATTTCCATGTCCAACAGCGACGCCGACACCGACTCCAGTGCCTCCTGCTGGCAACTGACAATTGTTATAGTTCGGCTCCAGACCAGGAGGCGGACGAATAACGCCCACACCTGGCGTTATGGTATGCGTTGGCGAGGTACGCGCAGTAGTCTGAGTTGGCCAGCCGTTATAGCCAAGCGGCGTCCAGGATGGAGCCGCATTAGCTTGATTCATAGTCCAATTGTTGCTCTCCATGTTGGCCATCAGCATTAGCTTCTGCTGCTTCTGCTGCTCCTGCTGCTTCCGCTGCTGCTCCAATTGCTGCAGCAGCAGCTGCTGCTTCATTATCAACTCGCTGCGTTCCCACTGCGTCTGCGGCTGCTCCCGTTCGTACAAGTTGCCACAAAGATCTGCAAAAGCAAGGGAGGTGCGATTAGAAAATGAGAGTGATAAATATCTTGATCAAGTCACCATTCAGGGCAGGCAAATCCATGTTCAAGCCCGATTCCGTATTGTCAAATAGCGAACGAATTAACGTGTTGCTGGTCGTCGTCGTCGTCGCCGGCTGCTGGATTGGCTGATAGAGCGAGGCAGCTGGTGCTGTGGGGAGGCTTTTGCGGCTACCAATCGGACCTAATTGACTGCTGGCCAAGTCACTCGCAGCCGGATCCCAGTTGAGGCCGTTATCGATCGCTGGCAGCGGCTTCGTTTGCAACACATCGCGGAACGAAACGCGGCTGCTGGTCTCCCAGGGCGAGGTGATCATGGTGTCGGCTTCTGGTGTGATCAGCGGCGATGCTCCGCTCGCTGGCATCGGGTTGCCATTGAAATTAAGCTGCTTGCTGCGCTGTTTGCGCTCCGTCGACTTCTTGCCGTTGGGTGTGGTCAGTTTCTGCTCCTTGCGTCGCTCACGTCCAGGCGTCTTGCCCAGCTTCTTGGTGCTGCCGTTTTGCTCCTTGAGCACGCGTTCCTTGGGCGTTTCGGGATTCACTTTGCAAGCGCGCGGCGATACGTTTTCCTGTTGTCCCTTGCCATTCGGACTGACGCGCTTCTCCTGCACTTCGATCGGAGCCGGCTCTACTTTGGGTTTGGGCGTCACGCTAATCGGCGTCGTTTGTTTGGGTTTCTTTGGTGCGCGCACAGCTGGAGTTAGGGATGGCAGCACTGGCGTCGGCGTCGGGGTGGGAGTTGGCGTCGTCTTCTTACTGGGCTTCGGCGAAGTTGCGGGCTTTGGCTGGGTTGCGACAGCAGTGGTACCGGCGGCAGCAGCAGCAGGAGCACTAGCAGTCGAAGCTGCTGCAGTTTTGGTATCACAGCTGGCCATGTCCATGCTCCATGCTGTCCAGGATTTGGGCTTGCGTGTATTCGTCATCTTGTCCGCTGTTGAATTAGCCGGGGTTGAGCGTTTGCGCAGTTCCTTGAGCTGGCCGTTTCTGAACTTTTGTTGCTGTTCCGTTTTGAGGGCAGCTGCCGCTGCGGCTGCTTCAGCAGCTGCGGCCGCCTCCTCCGCCACCTGCATCTTGACAATGTTGCGCAAGTTGAATGTCGGCTGCACGGGTCCCTTGTAGCGCGCCGCATCGTAAGCACTCTGCTGTGCCATTATCGCCCGCGCATCGAAGACGGCGGCCAGCAGCACCAGACAGAAGCTGGCCAGGAGCACCACCAGCGCTGCATTTCGCAATGCCGGCTCCCAGCTGGGTCGTGGCAGACTCGCTGCACAGCGTTCCACACTCTCGGCTGGCAGCTGGGCGACTAGCTGATAGCTTATATCATAGCTGAGATTCGTCAGCAGCGTCAGAGTGCGCTGCACACGCGATGCGGTGAAGTCCGTGGTAAAGCTGATCTCGATCTTACGCGTCTCATTCTCGCCTAGCTCGAAGCCCTCACAGTCGAGCACCTTGAAGCCGTAGCCCTCGCACGGACGCTTGCCAATGAGAAAGCCGACCACACGGATGGGCAGCACGCCCGCATTGCGAGCCGTAAAGCTACGCGTGGCCGAAACCACATGGGTAGAGAGGGTATCTTCGTCCTGGCTGCCATCGGCAGGCTTCAAGCTGCCATCACAGCGCTCAAACTGTTCGGCATTGAACTCAAAAAGCAGCGGAGCATTCGATCCGGGTCGTCGATTGCCCAAGCGGAACTGCGACTGTACGGCACGCGCAGTCAGCCAAACAGCCTCGTAGAGGGTCAGATTGCTGCGCACGTGGAGCAGCGTGCAGTATTTGTCCGGCTGCTGGGCGCTGAACTGCACGGGTATGGTCAGTGTCGCTCCGCCAGGCAGCAGCACGGGTCCACTGTATGGAGCATCGGGCAGCGAGAAGACGTCACGATCCGTCAGATAACAGCTGCTGCTGCTCACGTCGATCACCTCGTGGGGCAGCGAGAGTTGTGTGCGTCTTGCGAACGCCGGATCGGAGAGATAGTAGTCGAGCAGCAAGGGCTGCATTGAAGGATTGCTCATGGT